CTTTTAAGTTTGTATACCAAGTGTGTTTATACATTAGTCATGGAAGGTTAAGTTGGAAGGTTAACTCTGTTTAAGTTGAGAATTAAGTTGAGAGATGTAAACCCTTAGACCTGTCTCATTTCATTTACACAGTAAGTACTCACTAAGTACTTACTTAGAAACGGTAAGCACACATACACACTAGTGTGCTACTTTCCTATTTCTGTGACAGTTATCTAGTATTCTCAGTTCTATTTTTTGTACATTAATTACCTTCAAACAGTAGGACATGTTTCTCTGAGTTCTATTATCTTTGAAAGCATAGTGAATCCCTAGCTGTCTTTCTAAAATCTACAGTTTGCTTTTTGTTCTTTAATCTAATGTGGTTATATTCTATTTAAAAATCTATTTTCCATATTTTTTCATCTCCTTTGTGGAATAATTGCTTAAATAGAATATACTTTGAATAACTCTTAAATTAAAATCCCTAGTGATTTCAGTATAAATTAGGATTTAACATTATATCTCAATTAGAAATTGTCTCATTTATTACCTTAATTTTTAATCATATTTTATAACATGGCATTTTTAGAATCTAGATTTGTAATACTTTTAATGTAGACTTTTGGATATATGTTATTGAATTTCTGGCTTTACTAGTATATAATTAAAAAATTTATTTAGGTAAGCCAACTATTTTTAGTAAATGTAAGCAATAATGTTTAAGTTGATGAAATGCAAATGTGTCACTTTTTCATTTATCTCCACGGGTATTATAATGCCTGGGTGAAGGAAATTTACATAGCATGGGGCTGCTTCTGTATCAAATGAGGCCAAGATTGGAGGAATACAAACTCCATAAGCAAACACTTTTATTAGACACTTGTGCCACAGTGTCAGTATACTGCATGCTTTCACCAGGTCACTAAAATCAAATCTAATGTTTCAGGGTCCAGTTCATATCTTAGTAGCTTTTGGTACTACTGTTGTTCTTCCACTTTAGTTTTCTGCTTTGTCATTTTCTATCTTATCTGTGAATCTTCTACAAATTAATATTTTTTAAAAGTGAGATTATGATTTGCGTTTTTTTTTAAAGTGGGATTACAACCTACATTTTATTTTGCTTTTTTACTTGGTACTCATTCTTTTTATGGCTCTTTTCAGCATAGAACTTTCTCAGTAGTGACTCTTACTTATTTCTTGTGTTGATGAATTTGATGTTAAAAAGAGTTTTTATAAACCTAGCTTACAGGAAATGTAGTTTGACTTCTCATGAAAAACTATACATCTGGTGAAAAAATTATATAGACTAAGAAAGTAAGCTTTTTCTCTTAGGCCAGTCTGTATTTTGGGACAGTAAATCAAAAGAGACATTTTGGTTTATTATAGCTTATCCTGTTTTTAATTTACTTTCTACATCTGGTTTATTTTGGTAGAAATCTTATTTTAAGTAACAAATAGACCACTAGTAGATGGATAGCTCTAGATGACATTTCGTATGAAGATGAGTTGTAACTAAAAGTCAGTTGAAACAGAGCTGTGGTTATAAACATGAGAGATTCAGTGGTGGCTTTTTAAGAGTAAAGGAATTACAGCTTAAGTCATGTACATCATGTAAATAGTTTAGGTTCTATCAGAGATCACTAATTTTGGACAGGTTATATGGTGAAAAAATCATTTCTGTTTAATGTTGGAAGAGCTCCATGGGTTTGGAGGCTCTTCATACTCAAAATTCTCTCCAGTTTTAGTTTCAGTGATTATACTTTCTGTTGCAGTAGTAAATCTTTTCTGTAAGAATGTTTCTATCAACAGACAGTGAGAAAGGAAGAAATAGATATTACTTCATGCACTAATTTGAAGCTTTGTTAGATGGGTAAGAATATTTCTTTATTTGTATCCTTACTTTTCCAAAAATGATTTAAGAGGGTTGTTTAGGAGTATGTAGTTTTGGTTCCCTAATGTTTCTTAGAATGAATACCATTTCTATTAAGAAACTTGAGACTGCAATTTTTGTTTTCATAGGCCCAGTCTCCTCTGGAGAGGTTTAGAAATATACTTTACAGTATTATTTAGAAAGCATAGGGTTTTAGTGTGTTTTGTTTCTCTGTCACTGCCCCTCTCCACCAAATAATTGAGGTACTACAATGTATTAGACATTGTACAAAGCACTTCACATATATCAGCTTTAACTTTATCAGGTCTACTTGCCAGGTGAATATTTTCATCCCATGTATTACAGATTTATTCATTTTTTTCAGCCACTAAATATTTGAGTCTCTAATACAGGTCACACACTCTTTTGGGGCTCAGCTTTAAAAGTATGAAACAAAGTCCCTATTCAGGCCAGTATCCCTTGTGAACATAGATGGAAAAAATCCTCAACAAAATACTAGCAAATTGACTCTAGCAATACATTAAAAGATACACCATGATCAAGTGGGATTTATCCTAGGATTGCAAGGGTTTTTCAATATCTACAAATCAGTCAGTGTGATATACCCCATTAACAAACTGAAGAATAAAAACTGTATGATCATCTCAATAGATACAGAAAAAACTTCTGATAAAATTCAACATCCATTTATGATAAAAACTCTCCAAAAAGTGTGCATAGAGGTACATACCTCAACTTAATAAAGGCCAGATATAACATCATCATCATACTCAATGGTGAAAAGCCGAAAGCATTCCTTCTAAGATCAGGAGCAAGACAAGAATCCCCAGTCTTGCCCCTTTTATTCAACATGGTTTTGGAAGTCTTTGCCACAGCAGTCAGAAAAGAAAAGGAAATAAAAGGGATCCAAATTGGAAAAGAAGTAAAACTCACTGGTTGCAGATGACGTGGTACTATATATAGAAAATCCTAAAGATGCTACCAGAAAACTACTAGAGTTCATCAATGAATCTGGCAAAATTAATTACACAATTAATACATGGAAATCTGTTGCATTTCTATATACTAACAACAAAATATCAGGAAAAGAAATTAAGGAAACAATCCAATTTACCATCACATCAAAAAAAAAATAAAATTCCTAGGAATAAACCTACCTAGGGAGGCAGAAGACCTGTACACTGAAAACTATAAGACACTAATGAAAGAAATTGATGGCAACACAAACAGTTGGAAAGATATACCGTGTTCTTGGATTGGAAGAATCAATGTAGTTAAAATGGCCATACTACCCAAGGCAAGCTACAGATGTATTGCAGTCCTTATCAAACTACCAATGGCATTTTTCACAGAACTGGGACAAAATTTTTTAAAAGTTATATGGAAACATAGAAGACCCCAAATAGCCAAAACAATCTTGGGGAAGAAGAACAGAGCTGGAGGAATTACGCCCCCTAACTTCAGACTCTACTGCAAAGCTACAGTAATCAAAATGATATGATACTGACACTCACAAAACAGACACATAGATCAGTGGAACAGGATAGAAACCCCAGAAATAAACCCACATACCTGTAGTCAATTAATCTGCGACAAAGTAAGTAAGAATATACAATGGAGAAAAGATAGTCTCTTAAATAAGTCGTGCTGGGAGCACTGGACAGCTACATGTAAAAGAATGAAATCAGAACATTCTCTACACAAAAATAAACTCAAAATGGATTAAAGACCTAAGTGTAAGGCCAAATACCCTAAAACTCCTAGAGGAAAACATAGGCAGAACACTCTTTGACATAAATTGTAGCAATATTTTTTGGATCTGTCTCCTAGAGTAATGGAAATAAAAATAAAAATAAGCAAACGGGACCTAATTAAACTTGAAAGCTTTTGCACAGCAAAGGAAACCATAAACAAAATGAAAAGACAACTTACAGAACGGGAAAAAATATTTGCAAACAATGAGACTGAGAAGGAACTAATTTAGAAAATATACAAAGAGCTCATATATCTTGATATAAGAAAAAACCCTATCAAAAAATGGACAAAAGAAAATACCATATGAGATCGCTTATATGTGGAATCTGAAAAAAATGACACAAATGAACTTATTTACAAAGCAGAAACAGACTCACAGACATAGAAAATAAACATGATTACCCACGGGGAAGGTGGGGGTGGAGGGATAAATTGGGAGTTCAGAATTTGCATATACTATTATATATAAAATAGATAATCAACAAGGCCTTTCTATATAGCACAGGGAGCTATATATTCAATACCTTGTAATAGCCTATAATGAAAAAGAAAGGAATATATATATATATATTTATATAACTAAATCAATATGCTGTACACCAGACATTAACAAAACATTGTAAATCGACTATACTTCAATAAAAGAGAGCAGAAGACCTAAATAGACATTTTTCAAAGACATCCAGATGGCCAATAGGCACATGAAAAGATGCTCAATATCACTAAGTATTTAGAGAAATGCTAATCAAAACCACAATGAGGTATCATCTCATACCAGTCAGAATGGCATGCTGATGTATTACAGTGAGCATATAATGAGGCTCAAAGTCTAATAGTAGTCAGATCCTTTACCATCTTGAACCTGGTTGGTTCTTACTGGTTTTTGTTTTTTTCTCTTTGCAGCTTTTGTCCTGAAACTTGGATAGGTTGGTTTCTATTTGAGGAAGGGCCAGAGATATGATCCTGGGGCAATAGAATGAGAGTAGTACATGGGAGATGTAATGAAACCAGAAAACAGAAAGATTAAGCAGTACTCCCTGTCTGCCACCAATAAGCTGTATGATTTTGGCATTTTCCTAACCCCTGACATTTTCATCTGGGAATTTTGAAGGACTTGATTATATATCCTCTGAAATCTTTTCTAATTTTTTTGTCTTAGTTGAAAGGAGTATTGTGCCTTTTGATGAAAATTGGAAATACTGTATTTATTCTAAGACTTTTTCTTTTGGAGTAAACTCCTAGTTAAGGTATACTAAGCACCTAAAACTTACTAGAGAGTTTTGTATGAATTTATTTATTTTCCTAAAAATATGTTTCTTACAAAAAAATGACAGCAATATGATTTTAATATCATTTTTATGCTTTGTTTTAGGTTGGTATAGAGGAGTTTCAACAAAGAAGCCAAATGTAAAGGTAATGAAAAGTTTGTTGCCTTTTGTAATGTAGAACGCTGCCTAGTATGTTTGATATAAAAACAATTCTTGCTTGTCCATCTTTTAATCTTTTACAGTAGCCACATTCATTCTTTCCTTTACAGAATTGTATCAGACTCTACTCTGTCTCAGCAGTATTAAAATGGCTTTTTAAAAAGCACAGAAAATTCATTTGTGGTGATAGCTACAAAACTTATGTTGAAAAAGCCAATTTGGACATTTAATATTTTTTCCTTCAAATATTTGACAAAAAGTAAATCGACTTTTTCATAGACCTAGTACTGTGGAGTCATGTGATTAGTTAGATGAATTATTTCTAAAATGAAAAAAACTTTTAAATAATGTTCAATTAGATTGTCTCTGTTGGCATAATATTCTTATTAAAATATGAATTTAAATACAACTTTTAAGTGCAATATACTAATTCTATGAAAGATTTTTGTGTTTATTCTATTACTAATTAATAGTAATTTGAGCAAACAAAATATTTTAATTGGCAGTTATAATACATTTAGCAACATTCTTCTCCATTAATGCATTTGCAAAAGCTTTTTTCTGCTTTACTTTTTTCTATAATGTAATCAGTTTTCCTTATATATTTTCTGTAGCTTAATAGTTAATGTTTTATGCTTTTTCTTATATAGAAAATATCAAATTTATCATGTTATTTTTATTAAAAAAGAAAAATGTTCAGAGTTCTAACCATTAGTTTTGCCAGCAGAATTACTCATTTTGTTAGTTTTTAAGGTAGTGATAATAAGACAGCATCTTCAAATTTTAATTCCTCATTGAGGCTTATTATCCTTGTCATTGTTGACATTTTGGGCCAGATAATTCTTTGTTATCTTGTGCATTGTAAGAAGTTTAACAGCATATATGACCTCTACTCACTAAATGTTAGTAAAACCCCCTTCTCACTTTGTGGCAATGGAAAATGTCTCCATACATTGCTAAAGGCTCTGGGCCTGGGGAAAGGTGGGGCGGTGGTGGTAAAATTTTCCCTGGTTGAGAATCACTGTGCATAGTTAATTTTTTCCCTCATATCTCTAGTTTAAAACACACTTTCAGGTGTTTTTCCCATTTCAGGTATGCTTATGTGGAAATAAATTATATTTATATTTAATGTTTTTTATCTTGATTTAAAGTTGTCAAATATTTAGAGCTTGAATAAATGAGAAATTTATAAATGATTGGAAAACAATACTAGTGTGGAGACGATGGCCTTTGAAATTATTTCGTGTTTGTGTTTAAAATATCAATTGAAAACCTTGTAGAATGATACATCAGTGGTGATATTCTTAATGTATTATCCATTACTGTACAGAAAAGCACCCCAAAATGGTTAAAAATGAATCACCATTTTTGGTTAATGGTTAAAAATGAGTCTCATGATTTTGTCTTTACTGGGATCATCTGGGCAGTTTTTCTGGTACAGGTGATGTCACCTGTAGCTACAGTTATCTGAGGGTTCAGCTGGCTGGAATATCCAAGAGTATTTCCGATGTCTGGCATCTTGGCAGGGATGGCTGGAAGGCTGTCCTTAGCTAGATTTCTGAAATAGCTAGACTTCTCCATGTAGTAATCTCAAGGTCTCTCCCTCTCTGTATGGCTTCTCCAGCAGGGTAATCAGAGTTCTGTTGTAGAATTAAGGAAAATTGCTCCGAATCTCATACCTATTTTCTAAATTAGTTTTCCTACAATGAAGGTGTTTAGTCTGTGGGAGAGGCCATTTTTGTGATTAACTTAGCAATGATTGGATAAACTAATCAAAATGAGGAAACCAAATTACGCTGAAGTGTTAGAGCTCATTTTGTCTGATTGGACTCCTTTAATTTCTTCACTTTGGGCTAATGTGATACTTTTTGAGATTGTGTATTTTGGTAACACCAACTTAATTCTAGAATCTTAGATTACTGTAGTATTTATTAGCAATACATATCTGTTATACCTCTTGATAGCTTATATTTGTATTCTTAAACTTAAAAAAATTAACAGATGGAAAGACAGTGTTTATTAAATTTTATCTAGTGGCAGTGGTATTTTGTGGACCCATGATTAAAATTCTTTTGTATTTGTGAAAGATAATCATTTAATGATTTTATACACATAGAATGATTTAAAAATGCATTCCTGTGTATCTTTTATTTGTCATAATATTGTGGTCACAGTAAATAAAAATTTCAGTAGGTTTTTCATACCTATTAGTTACAGAAAAATAAAAGAGGTGGCTTGTTAAATTGTATTTTAGTTACATATAATTTATACTAATAAGAAACTTGAAATAACCCAAATAAAATAATACCTGAACCAGATAGCAAATACAGCATTCAGAAATTTGGTAAATGGTAAAACATTTTTTTGTATAAAAAAATTTCATTATAACATACCCTTTCAGTTATGTAGTTTTGTGACCATGTGTTAAAATTGTACAATTTAAGAGAAGCATAATATGCATGAAATATGTACTACTAAATTTATGAATTAAAGAATAAGTTAAAACTAAGAAAAAGGAGAACAGATATTTGATGGTAATTTTGTTCTTTTTATAAAGCATATACCCAAAAGGAAAGGATGAAATCAACAGAGTTTGTATTTATTTTCATTTTGTGGTTTCAGGATCAGTTTTTAAACCATAATTGTCTACTAGATACCTAGAATTCTGCCGGATAGGAACAGTACCTTATTGAATGTTTTGCACAGCCAAAGCAGAGGTATAGAGGCATGAAATTGCAAGATATGTTCAGGTAATGGTAAATAGTCCAAACTGGCTAGGGCATAGTGCAAGAGAATGATGGATAGTAAGTCAGGAAAGGTATGTTGGACCCATATTTAAAGGGTCTCATAATACCAAAGAATAAAAGGAATGCTAAGGAATTTGGCTAATGTCTCTTTGACAACAGCGAATCTGTCATTTAACAGGGGTAAAGATTCACTATTGTCACAAGTATAACTATGGAATATGGTTTATTGCAAAAATGGTAAGCACCTGTTAAAAATACATATTGAAGTATTTATGGATGATTTCTGAAATTTGCTCTAAAATATGGCAGTGAATAAGAATATGTATGTGGGGATTAACTAATGAGTCAAGATCGGCGAAATGTTGATCATTGTTGAAGCTGGGTGATACAGGTTCATGGAAGTTCATTATATTATTCTCTGTAAATTTTGTGTGTGTTTGAAATGGGGATGACATTATTTCTTATCTTGTAGAACTGTTAGTAATCAGTGTGCTTACATGAAGCTCTTAACACAGTGCCTAGCACAGCATAGTAAATACTTGTTTCTGTTGCTGTAACAACTACTACTATGATAGCACAGGGCGGAAATGAGACTTTAAAGACTGCCAGCACCTTGGAGGACAGAAAAAGAGGAACTAGCACAAAGACACTGAGAAATGGTGGTCATAGTTGGCTAAGGAGAAGAAAGCTTTTAAAAAACAGGGTAGTTAATGATTTCAAGTACTATGGAGTAGTCTAGTCTAGTAGAAAAGAATGGGTGCTGAGAAGGAGCCATTGTATTTGATAGTTAGAAGGCCATTGGTGATTTTTAAGAGAATCACATGTGATAGAATGATAGAATGGTAATGGCAGAAAGCCAGAGTCTAGTGAGTTCAGTGATTAAGAGAGAAGGCAGAGATGTTACTACAGTAGGTTATGGGTGAAAGAAAGGGAGGAGATGTAGATTCTCGAGAATACAATGTTGTAGAGCTGATTTTGTGAATAAAGGACTGATGAATGTTTTCAGTTTGATTTATATAAAATTCTGGAAAATGCTAATAGTTTATAATGTCTTAAACCAGTTAAGTGGTTGCCTGCTAATAGTGTTGAAGAGGGGATGGATTACAAAAAGATATGTGAAAACTTTTGGGGATGATTCAGATGTCATTATTTAATTGTGCCATGGTTTCACTGGTGTATATATATATGCCAAAACATCAAATTCTACACTTTAAATATGTGTGGTTTGTGGTACATCAGCTATACCTCGGTAAAGATGTTAAAAAAATCATTAAATGGTTTTTATGTCAAGCCCTGAAGATACGATTTCACATTCACTTTGAGAGTTATCATCTCGGTTTCTCAATTTACTTTCTAGCTGTTGTTATTGTCTACAAAATAATCAGTAAACTATAATAAGAGAGTTTTATTCAGGCCAGGCTGAGGACTAGCGGAGAGTGTAGCCTCCACCAAGGAAGAAAGCACTCAGGAGAGGCATGGTTTTCAGCACAGTTTTATATCTTGTCATAACAAAGAGCCTACATCAAACACGACAGGGGTACATTACTTCAAGATTTCAAAAGAGACAGATTAGCATATACACAATGAGTCAGTATGCCCTTGGTATCTGGGAGGCAAACCTTATCTTTGAAGAAGTAATAGCGTTGGTGTCATAGGAAGGGAGGCATTTATCCCTGGTCTTCAAAGTGGACATTCTTTTTAATTCTGGATAACTCATTCTTTTCTTTAATGGTTAAAGCAAATGTACTGTGTATGCTTAACAGAGTATAAGCCAGGCTATTCTAGTTGACATAAAGTTTAGGTCAAATCATGTATATGCCAGAATGACTTCTCCCTACCCCTATATGCAAACATTTCTTCCATCATTATACTTTATATTTTTGAGGTAATTAAAGATTTATGTGCATTTATAATAAGTAATATCAAGAGATCCGGTGTACCCTTTACTCCATATCTTCTGTTTATAACATCTTAGAAAACTGTAGTAAAGTGTCAAAACCAAGGTATTGTTAACCAAGAATTTCAAGAATGGAGACCTGGTTGAGGCAAAAAAAAAAATTTTATTTGGGGTTTGTTAGGACTACGGCCCAGGAATTAAGCACTTGAATTGTGTTGTGCTGGACTACAAAATGGGGGAAGCTTATAAAGGCAAAACCTACAAGATTACATAAATTGTCAAGAATTAGAATTGGGGCCAACAAGAAGTGTTCTTGCTAAGCAAGGACTGGTTGGGGTTCAACATGATTACATAGTTGTGAAGCAAGATGGGTATGGAGGATGGAGGAAGGTGGGGAATACTTTGAAACTACAAGTTTGCAGCCAGCAACTGCTAGCAGCTGATGGTGTCCTTCAGTTTGACACAGTTCAGAAAATTCAAGTTCTCAGTAGTGCAGGAACATGTCTGAAGCCACATCTGCAATGGCCCCTCAGCTCCATTTTGGCTTTTTGAACCATAGTTACTCTATTTTGATTTTTGGATGCTCTTAAATATGTCATCAATATTGACATAAATGTTCAAGGCAGAACATTTCCATCACAAGGATCTCTGGTGTTGCCTTTTTGTAGCTATACCCACTTCCCTCCACCTTTACCACTTCTTAATCTTTGACAACTACTAATCCGATCTCTCTTTTTATAATTTTGTCATTTTAAAATGTTGTATAAGTAGAATCATAAAATATGCATGTTTTTGAGAATGAGTATTTTCACTCAGCATAACTCTGGAAATTCATTCATGTTGTACATGATTAATGGTTTATTACTTTTTACTTATTTTTGAGTTATATTCTATGGTATAGATATACCACCATTTGTTGGTGTATGATTGTAGTAGTCTCTTATGATCCTTTGTATATTTGTTCTATTACTTATGGTGTCTCCTCTTTCCCTTTAAAAAAATTTTTTTTTTATCTTATTGAAGTATAGTCAGTTATAATGTGTTAATTTCTGACATACAGCATAATGTCCCAGTCATGTATATACATACGTATATTCGTTTTCATATTCTTTTTCATTAAAGATTATTATAAGATATTGAATGTAGTTCTCTGTGCTATTCAGAAGAAATTTTTTAAAAAATCTGTTTTTTATATAGTAGCTAACATTTGCAAATCTCAGACTCCCAAATTTATACCTTTCTACTCCCTTTCTCTGGTAACCAACTTAGTATTAATTAATTAATTAATATGTAAAGTGGTTGCTACATTAAGAGATCTACTGTGTTGTTGATAGAGTATTTCTATGCTGAAATCTTGACTAACTAAATCTGCTGTTTTAATGTATATGAGATATTTAGTCACAAATTGCTTTTTCTAATGGAAAATCTTTTCTCTTTTACAGGGGATATTTCCTGCAAATTACATTCATTTGAAAAAAGCAATTGTCAGTAATAGAGGGTGAGTAGTTGGCCTTACTAAATTTATAATTTTTATTGGTTGCAGAAGAAGGTGTTTTTCTTTTTGGTTCATAGTATAAAATATGCCATTGGCATGTTTTTCTGCTAAAAATATACTTGCTTTATCATATAAAATTCTCAGGACATAATTTTATCTTAATAAAATACTGACAACTATAATCTCTTTTCCGGTATACTGGAAAGATAACCTGAGTTGTTATAAATTTTATAAAAACAGTTATGCATGCAGCATGTTTTTAAAAAATAATATACTGTTTTGAGACTAGTCCTTGATAGGACAGGAGTTAGTGATAAGTCTGTCATTTTATTTTTGTATGTCAAAGTAAGGGAGACTTTTAAAATCTTCTCTTTTTGCAAGTAGAAATCGAAGAAATGGTAAAGGCATACCTTAAGGATAAAAAGACAGTGTACAAAATGGATGCATAATCACAAATTTGCAAAACAAAAGCAGTCTCTGAATAGAAGAGAGACAAGATGTAAATAGGCCAAAATGTTCATATTTATTGTTTTTACACTTTTAAATTGTGGGTGTTTAAAAATGTTTTACTGTCATGCCTTATTTTTAAAAGTAATATGTATTACTATAAGATTGTGATTTTATTTTTTAAAATTCATCATTTTAAAATATAAATTCAGGGTACTATATAACTGTGATAGCTTTTGGTACTAGAAATAATGTTTTTGACCAGAAGTTGAATTAGTATCAGTATTCCTTTGGTACGTTAAGGTTTAGTCAGCAAAAGAGATACTTACGAATCACTTTATGAGGTAGAATTTAATATAGGTAATTTTAGATACAGATTTGGAGAGTGAAAGAAAAAAAGGAGGAAATACTGATAGAACCTAGAATAATCACTAAATATACACTAAATAATCACTAAATAATAAACAGTAAAGCATTCAACACTAATGGCTGGGGATACAAAAAGTAATAGATTGGGTATACCAGAACCCAGAAACTTGGAAGATGGAACTTGAGATACTGGAATTCAAATATCTGAGGAGGGGATGTCACATGGCTACTGCAGGTATGTACAAAGAAGGGCAGTGAGGCTGTTTCTGGGAATGCCAAAAACAACTGGAGGCTGGATCCAGTTTTCTCTGGTTAAGAGTCATTTACAGAAACAGCTAGAAACATTTCTACTTTCCTCCTTTTTTCCCTGAATCTTTGTAATGCCTCCAATTGACAAAGGAGTTTGTGAAACAAATTTGTAAATCCCAGCCTCAGAATCAGTATTTATAAGGGTAGACATGGAGATGAGAGTTATTGGTTAAATGTCTGGTATGCTTTCCAAGATAAAATTTGTTATTGAGGCACTGTAAGATTATAACTGAAAAGACTCTGACATGATTGTATAACCAGCATACTTCTTATTCTTCCCCTTCTCCTTTTATAAAACATCAAAGACACAGAATATAGAGAAGGAAAACATGAAAATCCAGTGTTGGTGAACCTTTGGGACAAATAATCTGCCACCTCAAGTTTATAAGTAAGGATGGCCAAAAGCATCAAGACCAGATAGAAGCTGTGTGAGGAAAGGAAAAGGGAGTAGTATCTAGACCAGGATCAGGAAAGCATATATTAGCACTTTAAAATGCAGAAATAATACCCCTGATGTATAACACTTTGATTAGGAATGGGACTAATGGGAGCTGAAATTGGGCAGAAGCTGCAGCCAGGAGACTGATACTGTAGGTCCCTGCAGGCCATGTCAAGGATCTTAGCTTTTACTGAATGAGCCAAGAAGCCAGAAAAGACCTTTAGAAAGAGAAGGGACATGTTCTTACTTCATTTTAAAAGCGATATTCTGTGCTTCTTGTTGAGAGTAGAACTACAGTGGAGCAAGGGCAGAAGCAGGGAGATCTGGTAGAAGATTACAGTACTCCATGGAAGACATCATGATCACTTGGACTCAGGTGTTCACTGGAGTGATAAGTGATAAAATGACTAGGTATTCTGAAGTTAGAGCTGACAGGATTTGCTGATAGCATATGGCCAAAAGAGGAAATATAGATGCCTCCAAGCTTTTTGATCTTAATAACTGTAAGAATGTAGTTGCCATTCATTGACATGTGGAAGTTTGGGAAAACATATGTTTTGGGGAAGAAAACCAAAGAATTCAATTTGGGGCATTTTAAATTTGAAATGACTCTTAGATATTCAAGTGGAAATGTCAGGTAGGCAGTTGGCTGTTTGTGGAGTTCTGGGGAGAGAGAGTATGGAGCTTGAGACATAAATTTGAAAGTCATCCACTTATAGATGGTATTTAAAGCTGTGGGGCTGGATGAGAACAGTAAAGGAGTTACTGTAAGTGGAGAAGTGAAGTAAAGACAGAATACTGGGGAACTGAAGGTTTATAAAGATAGGAGGAAAAGGAGAATCAGTCAAAAGAATCTGAAAAGATGTGGCCAGTGAGGAAGGTGGAGAAATGAAACAGTAGTGTCTTGGAGACTAAGCAAAGAGAATATTTAGGGGATGGGCTAATCAAATATGTCTGGTGCTGTTGAAGTTGAGTGAGACTGAAGATGTTGTTCAAAGCAGTTTGGGTAGAGTGCGGGGAATGAAAGCCTGATGAGAAGGTATTTGAGAGAGAATGAAAGAAGAGGAAATAGAACACAGTTTTAAGACTCAGGTTATGGCCCTCATAAACAAAACTGAATGTCAAGTGACAGCATACTTAGTTTTGAAATAATTCTTCTATGTACTTCTTTTTAAAAAATCATTCTGACTCTTTTTATCTAATTTTTTATTTTGAAAAATTTCAAATCTACAGACAAGTTACAAGAATAATATAAATAAAACCCATATCCTTTTCTCTAGATTCACCAATTACCAACATTTTGCTGTATTGTGCTCATGTTCTCTTCCCAGCTCTGCTTTTTTATATGACAGTAAGTTTTAGGCATCCTAACCCTTTATTGCTAAATATTTTAGTATGTATACCTTAAGAAAAAACACATTATCTAACATAATCACAATTTAATTGTTATATTCAAGAAGTGTAATGTTGATGTAATAATACTATAAAATATATAGTCCATATTCAAGTGTCCCAAATTCTCCCATGAATGCCCTTTTATAGCTGTTTTTATCTGACTGGTTTTTGCAGGTGGGTGTGGGGAGTGTCCATGATCCAATCAAGAATTAAATATTGTATTTCATCACTGTCACGTTACAATCTCTTTTAGTTTAGTACAGTTCTCCAGCCTTGGTTTTCTTTTTCCCTTTCATGACATTGACTGTGTTGAAGTGTCCAGCCCAGTTGTTTTGTAAAATGTCCCTCGATTTGTGTTTGCCTGTTTCCTCATGGCTAGATTCAGCTTAAGCATTTTGGATAGCAATACTGCATAGGTGGTGTTGCTGATTAAAATGGTCAGATTTCTCCTAGATATCTTCCCAGTGCTTGGTTAGATCAGCAGGACTGCAATTTAGGGCTCTCCCTTAGTGAATATTAGCCAGGAGTTGAAGGCCTCTTAGTCAGAGAACAGGCATTGCATTTCTATCGTGTGCGCTCTTCATTGCATCCTACCACACTTGTGAGGAACATGACTCTGTGCTCTCAGTGTTTCTTAGGGTGTATCTACTGCTTCTTGAAAAACTAGTGCCATTTGTATTGAAGTCCTTGTTTTTTATTTGGTTGACAGGGAGTGAAATTGCTTTACTAATTTATCTGTGGATATTTTCTTATGGGAACTTAATTTTCATATTTCAGTTATCTTTTTAAAGTGTTTCTTGATACCTGGGTTTTCTCATTTAAAATGATTCAGGTATAGTTGCTACTTTTTGTAAAGTTTTGCTGAAAAACTTGCACATTTATTGTAAATTAAAGAATTTCAGTGCTTATAAAAAATACAGCCACGAGATATTAGTGGCACACAATGAGCTTTATTTAGGCAGAGCTTTGACAAATTGCAAGGAAAGTCCCTCAGAGCCAGAGACCTTCCAGAGACAGCAGGGCAGGGCATGGCACACCTAGAAGAGGAAGAGTGCACCGGAGAGGGGACTCAAGTGTCTAGATCATGTTACTCAGTTGCAAGATGGTAAGTCTCTGGGTTAGAGAGCATCGCAGGACAGCAGCAGCTTGGAGTCTTTTATAGCCTCAAGATTTGTCTTATCTATGGCTAGGAGGCATTGATTGCAATTTCATTAAATACGTAAAACAGACAGGCTCTAAGTGGCTAAACATATTTCTACTTGGGCTATATTAAAAGCAGTTGGATGTGTAAAAATTTGGCATTGGTGGATTCTGAGTTACTGGTGTTCACTTGCTATGAAGAAGTAAACAACTTAGGGACCAATATATAGGAGGTCTTTTTGGCATATTTATGTAACACCATGACATTATGAAACATATATTTTTATTCCTTAATTATGGGAAATTAGTGGCATGATTTGAATTAGGAATAACTAACTTCCGTAGTTTCAGGAGTTGTCAGTTTTACTGATCATTAGACAAATTTGAGTTCAATTGAAAAATATACCTTTTACTGCAGAAAAGAAGCTTGTAAATCTAGGGTCAAATTATAACTGACTAAATTTATTTTAGGAGGGAGTTATGAGGTATTGCAGGTACTCCTCTTATATTCTCTTTAAGGAAGTATTCATGTTTATATTATTTTTTGAATATTGCCTCTTTACTCTCAGTTTTAATCTCTGGCACTTTTATTCTTAACTTGTGTATTTACTGCAATAATTTCTGTCCTCATTAGAGATGAATGTGAATACAGTGATTTTTTTTTTTAGAAATTCCCTCTTGCAGTAATTTCTTCTAAATTTTCAATCTTTTCCCTTTTACGAGATAATTTTCATCAACTTACCACTTCCTCAACTCATTTTTTTGTTTTTTCACAGCAAAACTATACAAGAGTTGGCTATACAACAGTGCTTATTGAAAACAGATAAGTAGTGCATTTGGTACATTATTTTTACTTAATATTTTTGATTTTTTGAAACACATGCATATAATTCTATAACAAAACTTATTTATACTACTAAACATAAAACAAGCAAAGACTACTAAGTAGCTGATGGGAAAATGGCAACTTGTTAATGTTTTCTGAAGAATACTTAAGGTAGAGAGAAGTTTATATATACACTCTAGGACTGTATTAAATCCTGAATTAAAATTCATATTTTCTTTGCTCAGGTCAGGATAACCACTTAATTCCCCACCTGAGTATCTGTTTTGTTAGTAACATTTTGAATTACTAAAGTAATTCAAGAATATTAGTTTCATGTTTCAAAAGTACTTCAATTTGAAGAGATGATTTTTAAATATATATTTTTATTGAAGTATAGTCAGTTGACCATGCTGCATCAGTTTCTGGTGTACAGCATAATTCTTCAGTCATACATGAACAT